AAAAAAAAAAAAAAAATTGCAGTATATTTTTATTGGTCATATACATTTTACAAAATTATTTTGGCGCTCTATTTTTATTATATGTATTTATCATCTGAAAAAATTGGCATTATATTTTTTTTTATATACATTTTAAAAATTAGTTAGTTTTAAAATTGACGCTTTAGTTATTTATTTATTTATTTATTTATTTTTTCCTTATCAATGTGATGTGCTGGGGAAGGGTCTATAATCTATATGGTCCTGGGAAAGGTGAGAATAGGGATCAATATTGAATAAGGCGAGCAAGTTATGTACAAATTTGATGGGCAACTTACGGTTAAATCAAACTACATATATATATCAAATGCTTAACTTTAAATTTTGGCGAAACTCAAAATTATTGTTGATGATTAATTATAGGCTGTTAAGTTCTTGTATTGATGCAGCCGACAAAAATGGTTGTATAAACATTTCTAGGGTGACCCATGTGTAGGTAGACATGGCCACGGGTTGGCTCGGCCCGACCTAGCCAATTTTTGAACCGGCCCGTAACCCCTTCAAGACCGGTTACGGGTTGTGTTGTACTCATTTCTGATCTGCCGGGCTGGGCCCGAGTATTCCGACAGGTCACAATTCTATTTTTTTTTTTTTTAAACCGGCGGTCCACAGATGGTTCAGTGAGTCGCCGAGTCTGACTAGTTCACTTAGATGTAGTCGCACTGTACGGGCCCAGTATTTGAGACCGCAAACCCGACAGGCCAGGTTGTGAACCGTCCCGGGCTTTGGCCATCTCTACCCTTTCCCAGCACATCATGACATTTTTTGCAATAGATAATAATGATTTTTTTTTTGTACAAAGAAGGAGGTCGAAGACCTTAAAGCTAGACTATAACTTGATAATAATGATTTTGACTGGTGAGTTGTCCCATCCATTAAATATATGCCATTATTTAAAATTAATTGTACTATAATTGTCACCAGCCATTACATCTCTATTTATATTCTCGAATGCGCTGAGCATACGTAGATGCTTCTGGTGCTTCGGAATCCTACTTGGCGAGTAATCATGTTCCGTAATTAGGTTTGGACAAATAATATTGATATGTTAATAATTAATAATCTATGTTCGGACATTCCATAAATATTATTTAGCTAACTTAGGTATTTGAATATCACTTGTACTAATATAATCTTTTAATTACTTCTAATTTTACATACTGAGACACTAAGTGACTAATATATCCATGACTTTTGATTTGTTTCCTTCAATTAGCTATTGAATTGTAAATGTATTTTAAAAGTTGATAACTTTTGTATTTCTTATCGGTTTACATATATAATATATCAAATTAATCATCTTTTGATATCTTCGATTTGACATCCATATTGTATATATGAAATAAATAAAATATATTTATCTTTATAATAATAAAAAATAATAATATTTATTAAAATTTATTAAAAAAAATAAAATAATTTCTTAATTGATATATTTATGTTTAATATAGTCATAGGTTGTAAGTTAAAAAAATTATTATAATATAACACAAGTAATTCGCACAAATGAAAGTGACATACTAAATATATAATAATATATATTTTTATAAAGGGGTATTTAAATTTTCAACTACTTTTTTTAATTAATTTTAAAGTTTATGAAAAAAAATTTAACCCGTGTAATACACAAGTGTTGTACTAGTATGCTAATATTTCAAATTAATGGTACTATATATTTTTTACCCCCCCAAAAAAAAATAGAAAAATAAAAATCTGGACAACAACAAAAAAATAATATGTTGACAATGTAAAATATATTCTCAGAATACGTTTTAGTGTTAATTAAATTAATTACGTAATTAAGTTAACTTATTCAACTTAAAATGTATTTCAAAAATACATTTTATAAATAAAATTAATTTTATAATTTATTATTGCAGAAAATAAATTTTTAAAACAAAAAAACATATTTTAGAAATATGTTTTATGTAAAAAATTAAAAATTTAAAAAATAAAACGTATTTTAAAAATAAGTTTCATTTTTACCCTAAACCGTATTTTCGGAATACATTTTTTAATAAAAAAAAATAAATATAAAACGTATTTCTAGAATACATTTTATTTGTGCAGAAAAAAAAAAACATGGTTTGTTGAGATCCATTCAACAACCAAATATCAATTCGACAAACTAATATCAATCCATTCGTCAAATAATAATCTAACATATACTATATACAAAAAGGTCAACCACAATAATTTATTCAACAAACAAATATATCAAAATATCAATGCACAGAATCCAAGAAAAAAAATATCAACAGAAGGTCCACAAAATTTACCGAATACAACACAAACTAACTACGAGTGAATGGATCCCCAAGTTTGCGTTGTCAGGACTCAGAAGAGGCTTTGGTTGGGAAGGAGACGAGGCTTCACCTTTCTAAGAGGCGTGTCAATTTCAAAATCCGACACATTCTCTCACTTTCTTCACCCGAGTAATTAATTTTTTAAAAAAATCACAAATTCGATTGGACAAAAATAAGAAAAAAAAATCATTTTTTGTTAAGTAAAAAATTCTCACCTTCTTCCTCAGGCCCGGTGTTCTCAAATTGGAGGTGCTGGGGGACTGTCGATTGTTTGGGCGTCGTTGTCGTTCCCTCCTTAGGACAAGTTCATTTTTGCGGTAACGGCCCTGAGGTCTTCTACCTCTACCAATGTTGGCAGCGGGTTGATACCTCGCCGTGTGTAGTCTTGTCCTCTGGGATGGGACATAGTCCTTCTCGGATATAACTTGATTGAACGACTCCCCTTGTGTAACATCTTGGCCTCCAACAGCCAGAGAACTATAGGCAATGTTGTAGTACTGTTAGAATGCGGCATGTGCCCGTGGAGGGAGTGTACGAATTAAGTCTTCAATACTCGATAAGGAGTTACAAACCCCCTCCAGGACTTGAGTCTGAA